TTGCAAAACCCCAAAACCCCAAAACCCCTTGTAGCTAACAAAAGTTAATATAAAATAAGTAATAATAATGTAAATTGCAAATAATAATATTCATTTAATTTTTCCTTTTTAATTCTTTGAATTGAGATTTATATTAATTATAGCCTCTAGCAAGTTCAATTTTATTACAGCTTTTTAAATTAGCTTTAATACTCTAAATAGTAATCTTCAATTAGTTTGATTTCATCTTCTATTCCTTATGATTTTTATAGTGCAGGCTAATTTATTCCTCTGAATTGTTTGTTATTATTATCGCAAATAACGCTCTTTTGAACAGAATCATGAATAAAGAATGGATTATCGAAATTCTCCGATTGTATTTTTATTGGCTCTTAAGTAATAGCTTATATTGACTCATTTTCCTCTACTAATGTTAGTCCAAAGCCTAATCTATTCAAATTCATTGTATTGAAGTTGACTAATGAAAGAAAATGCTCTTTTGGGTTTATATTAGAATTATTTTCAATATTTTTTTTAAATATACTTTTTTGGTTTTTATTTACTTTTTTTGCTCTTGTATTTGTAATTTAAAGACTTTTTTCCTTAATTTAAAGACTTTTTTAATTATCATTATTTTGATAGCCTTTCATTTAGGAATCCAACTTTTATTTAGTTTTACATTTTTAATTGCTCTGATTTTTAGATTTTTTCTTTTTCTTAATAGTGGTTCTATCTTTCCTCATAATTTTAAAGGTATCTCTGGTATAGTCACAATTCAAAGTGCTCAAATCATTATTGGTTATTTCAATACTTGACTAATTCTTATCTGATTAATACATTTGAACTTTTTTTCCCATTGATTTATTACCAATAATTTAAAATTTGACCAATATGCTTTTTAGTGAATTTCCAAAATTATTGATTGTTTAACCTATTATAATTAGCATATTGACTAGAATATTTAATGAAGTAATGGCTATTACAGAAATATCAAAATATTGTAATATATTTTGATCCTGTACGTAATCTGTGAAAATGATTAGATGATATCCAGTTATCAAAATACAAAGCTCATTAAAGTACTCTAAATTGTTTTAAAATTAGGTTTCAAAAGGTTTTACTATTCCAATAAACATGATTAAGAATACACTTTGTAAAATTAGAGTTAAGATTTGAAAATATGGGTAATTCATCATAAATA